GAGTCATAGTATATTAGTTGGGTTGAGTCAATCAATGAATTATGGATTAATTGGTTGGTGTATAGTGTAATTGGACTTAGGCTTGTGAGTTGTGGATTTGGCTGCTCTTGGGTAAGTGATAAGTGTTAAGTAAAAAAAAAAACTCAAAAAACTAAATAAATTGTGGGGTCATTTGACCGCACATGACCCCATGTGGGTCCGCCCCTGGTTGTAATGGTTATTCTCTTTCTTCTTAACAACAATGAGTCTTGCGAGACTGTTAGAAACATTCAAGCTATTGAGTTGATTTTCGTGTTCCTTGACCTCCTCTGAAACTTTATCCTTCTTTTCTTCGTTTTACACTTTCTGATTTTGCAAGGACATTATCCTTCTTCTCAGCATCTCCATTTGACTCCCTTCTTTCTTTTCTTTTATTGCATCTATAAGTGCAAAAAGCAAGTTTGCCTTCAATATGAACCATGATCAATTTAAAACGCCTTGTTGTTATTCAATGGCAACTGTAAATTATTCTGGTGACAAGAACAATGTTAGTCCACATTATTTTAATAAGTACCATATATACAATAATAATTATGCATCTCTACCAAATAGGGTCCAAAACGACAAAATTGATAAATTTATCCAAAAATTTCTCGATCCTAAATAAATACAATAATGCTAAGTGTACATTCTTTGATGTACGCTTTCTTTGACATCACCCATGTTTTAAAAAAATTGTAGGTAGAATTTTTTTTTTAAAACTATTTAATGGTGTGTTGCCATATTGTACAATGTAAATAATGATGTAAAAGACGTACATGTAGCATGATTGAAATAAATACCATAACCACAAATGGAATAGAATAACCAAAGCATTTCACAAACAATTCCCAAAAGAACTCATGAAGTTGATAATACTACACGTTTTAAAGGGGGCAGATCACGGGATGGGGACCATATTCTCCATCCCCACCTCGAGGCTACCTTTTTTGCTCGTCCCCGCCCAAGTACCAAATTATGCAAGGAATCCACGTCCCATTCAGGATGAGGGCCCACGGGTATCGACTTTTTTTTTTTGCCATTGCTAACAGTATATTTTTAGTTGAGATAAATATTATATATTCAACCCATTCAGATTTTTTTAATTAGTCTTCAAAATGTCCACCTCGGAGTTTCATGTAGGACCCCCTAATTCATCGAAGTACCTCTGCACCTTACATCCTTAGCGACTTATGTGCCCTATAACAAATATCTTATCTTATCTCTATCGAAAAATTGTTTGAAGTAACGTACTATTATGTTTATTTCTTATTATTTTCGTACAAATGTGTATATTGTACTCTCGAATTAATAAATGGTATTTATTACAAAAGTATTGAATTGCACAATACTAGAACGTGTTAAAAGATGAAACTTAGATGATAAAGTAGGGCAATAATGGCACGCATTGCAGGTGCCATTATTGGCTAAAGTAGATAAAAGAAGAAATAAAGCAACTTTGCTAATAATCACTCTCCTCTTTTATATTACTTACTTATTAAGAAATATAAGTTCTTAATCATTAATTATTTTCACAATGACTAATAACAATTAATTATCCCATAAAGCAGTACACTTGCCTTTTTAAAATGAGTAATGATATGTAGCCCCACTGTAACGACTCGACCTCGCGCCGGAATCGTTATCTTACGTACTGTCCGCTCTGGGATAAGCTTCTACCCACTTATCCCCTTACGACTTTCTGACGCATCCCACAAGATTCGAACTCAAGACCTCCATTATATGGGAGACTTAATTTAAATTCTGATACCAATTGGTCAAGGATTCGAACTCTTGACGCGGCAGCCTTAAGCAAAGCTGGAATTTTTCCACCTTCCCCTTTTACCACTTGGAGATGTGCCCTGGGGACGCGTCAGAAAGCCGTGAGAGGTAAGATGGACTTAGGCTCTCTCAAAGCGGACAGTACG